CCCTTATAAAAAGCCCCCCCCAGCTTCCTTGTAGCCCCTTCAGGCACTGGAAGGTGCTATAAGGTCTCCCTGGAGCCTTCTCTTCTCCAGGCTGAACAAGCCCAATTCTCTCAGCATTTCTTCCTAGGAGAGGTGCTCCAGCCCTCAGATAAATTCAGTCTGAGTTGAAGCATTTCCCAGTTAATATTCCTCTCCCTTGTCTCTGTCATTTTTATCCTTATTTGCTTCTCCTGAGAAGTTCTTTACACCCAGGTGGAATAGTATCCAACAGGAGAGCTGTTTAATCTTAGTAGAACGACAGCACGAGAAACAGACACCTGAGAATGAGGCTACTGTTTGCAGTCACCTCAGAGATTAATTGAGTCGGTTAATTAGTCATATGCTGGTTTATAGCTTAACACTCTCCTGGTAGTGGGTCATCTCCTCAACATGGTGGAATGAAGAGCAGAAGAACATCTAGCCTATGATCTGAGAAGCTTGAAGTTTTGTTAAAAGAATAGGGTTCCATTCATTTGAAAATCAAACAGAATCTAAATTCTCCAAGCTTTCTCAGAAGATTTGTGGAACTTTGAAAGGCTCGATGAACTTTGCTGCATATCTTGTCACAGTGCTATAAAAAACTCTGATAATCCATGTGCTATTTCGTCCTGGCTGGTGAAGTGTTAAATGGCACCATATTGTATAAATCTGTAATTCCTGTTAGTTTAGGGAGAAAGAAACTGCAGAAAGTCCCAGTGAGCTTTTAAGCTTTGGTGAAAAATAGTTGGAGGTCTTTTCCAGTCCTGCCTGATTAATGATATGAAGCTTAATTTTTTCCTAGTACATTAGTATAAAATTCAGTTTGTTGACTGAAGTCCCAAAGGGTGTAGGAGGATAGCCAGTACTGTGTCATTAAGTATGAATAGAATTGTTTCTGTTAACCTCAGTGAAGACGAAAAAATTATTTTTCTTCCATAGCTCTGTGTGGTTTTGTAAGCGTTACAAGGTGCTATGCATGTTGATACATAAATTTGCATATTTGCCCATAGAAGACTTTTTCTGCTTCTCCAAAGACAACTAGAACATTTGTGCTTGTGTCTTCTTGTGCCTCTATTGTGCTTGGACGACCTTCCAGTATGATAAGCTGTCTTTAAAAGAGTTGCCTGGTCTAGGCTACAGCCTTCAAGAGCGTCAAAGGTCTAATAGTCAGGTAGACTACTGGATAGTGCAATCATAGTAATTGGACTGAAATGTAGAGAAAAGTATAGTGTTTTATCCAGTTCAGAGGTTCTTCTACACACACCTAATGTCAGATGTTTCATAATCAAAGGATCTGAGATAGCTGAAAGTTTCTCTGATGTGGAAGAGGAGAAAGAGTAGCAGGAGTGATCTTAACTCCCAGACAATACTAAATTTATCATGATTTTGAATACATAGCAAATGCTTTTGTGTGCCATGAAGCAAAATAATGAATAAATCTATAGACAAGCTTTTTCATGAGACAAATTGATATCTTTGAGCATTACATTTCAATTTTTCTTTTCATTGTTTACATGAATCGTTTCAAGAGGCCGAGCTAATGACATCTCTTTGAAAAGGTTCTTTAGGGTTTTTTTTATTTAGTGTCCTGCAACTGTGAAATTAGGTTTGAAGTTGTGCCTGAATTTTTTTCTTCTTTTCAATTTAATTTGACAGAAAACCACTCTGCATGGTTCTACTAGTTCCAAATCCAAAATTAATTTTCTGTGTTGTACAGCTGCTATTTGTTCAGTGTTTGGGACTGACAGAGCCATTTAGTTTGGGACCAGAAGTCCCACAACAGCATGGAGTAATAGTGAAGTGTAACAACATTCCAATTAGATTTTTATTCCAATAATTCAGTGTTGGAGATATGTTCCGCTGAAATCCAACAGCTTTCAAATGACAGTGATTTTAACAATTAATTTCAAAATTGGAATTTTATTTCTAGCTTGTTTTTATGCAGAGTAATGTATATGTTGCCCAAATAATAGCAGAAATTGTGGAAAAATAGTATTTTGATACAACTGGATTTTTATTGTCAGGCTGGTGTGCTTACTCTTCTCAGATTATTGAAGTCATGAACACTTCAGTCAGTCACAACCTCTAGTGTTAAACTTCATCCTCTGTTTTTACAGACCTCTTCTTCATCCTCTTGTGTATCTACTTGCACTTTTTTAATTGAATTTTTCTGGATGAAGAATTTTTTTCGGAGCTAAACAGCTCCTCTTTGTCATGTTCAGCAGATATTTCTGGCAGCTTAATTCATGAGGCTTTGTAGAAGCCTTCTGTAGAAGGAAAAGAAGATACCATCCTTGGGATAATCAGTTTCACATGGAAAAGTGGTTGTGCAGGATCAAAGTCTCATTGCAAAAGGGACATTGATGATTTTCCTGATGAGCATTATGTTTGCTACAGAATATGAATTCACACATAGCTTTAGAGGTCTTAAGAGGCAGTACTGTCTGCCGGTTCGAAGACTTGTCATTCTGATGGTGCTCAGAGACTTCATTTGTGACTTTAGAATCTCTGCACTTACTCAGTGTGCCATAAAACTTGGTACCTTTCTGCTTCACCTGAACTTTGTGAAGTTAATACTATTAGGAATTGTTCTTCTAGTACTGAAGACAAAATAAACTGAAGAAAAAATAAGCAAAGAATTTGTCGCTTAAATAGGAACCAACGAGTGTGCCTGTGCTGCTTATATTTCAGACTCAGTGCAAGACTGCCCACGGAATTGTCATGGGAATGGCGAGTGTGTATCCGGTGTCTGCCACTGTTTCCCAGGATTTCACGGAGCAGATTGTGCTAAAGGTATCATTTTCCCTATGTTTACAAATAGCCACAGTGTGTGTTCGTGATGTATGGATCTACAGTGCCTGCTAGTTAGCATGGCTCCAGGCTAGATTCCAATAGATCAATATGCACTTTTTTCCTCAGATCTCTTAGTTAACTGTGATCAGTGGAAGTATTGCTACCTTGCTGATGAGCTTGCATAACTGCAAATTTTTGTGTCCAAGGTAGTCGGCAGAAATGGAAGAAAAAAATTTATGTTCTCTGAAAGTGGATGTATTATCATTAATTCTTTCTGATAATCATTAATTGGTCTGCAACAGAAGACTGATTATCATCATCGATAGCACATAATGTACATGCTAGCTTGGCTGAGCCTTACTTGTAGGCCATAGCATCTTTCTTGCTTATACAATTGGTCTCTGACCAAAGGAAGTTCGCTTTCTTAGGAAAATAAGGACGAGTTGATAAAGTCATAAAATAAACCTTTTCTTGAAGTGTCAGTTGTAAATTTTAACAAGTAAAACTGGAAGAGGCATGATTATCAAGGACTATCTAAAAGACAACTATGGATTTAGACGTGTTTACTAAGTTTTTTCTAAGAGTCTATGATAGCTCTCATAGGGAAAAAAATCATAAAGGAGGGCCTCTTTCGTTTGTACAGCTAGTAGCACATATGTGGTCTAAATCAGTGACTTGGTTGTATTCCCTGCTGTTCCTGAGCATAGCCCCAGCATTTGACAGTTTGCTTTCTCCTTCGTTTGTGTGAGATTGAGGCACACTGTGTCAGTACCACGTGCCTGCCATTGTTTGTTCCACAGGGATAGGGTTGTCCATGTTCAGAGGGGGAAAGCCTGGTGTTCAAAGTGTTTTGCAGTGTTTGAAGGACCTTAGAAATGTTCTCATTTCTTCTTAGACACCTGGTCCAGTCCTGGGGGCAGTTTGTTGTGCCCCACCTCTTTCACTGGCGTAGCACGGGGACATCCGGCCTACCCATGCGTGTCTACGAAATGCTCCTTGAATAGCTGTTATAGCCCTATTGGAGAGAGGCATTTCCATTTTGTGTCTCTAGATTAGGCTCTTGGAGGTGCCTCAGTACAAAAAAACCGCCAGACCCTGAGGACCTTGGAAAGCTAATGATGTTATTTCCGTGCTCATTCAGTACTCGTTTTAAAGAATGCTTCAAATACAGTGTGCATGTTTTTGATTGCCTGAGAAATTAAGACACTTGGCAATATATAGAAGAGCTATCTCTGTATTACAGAGTAAATGGTGTGATAATGTCTGCTATAAATACCCGCTGACAGCTATACGCATTTCTGTGTGTTAACCTGTGAAAGCATGCATGCAGTCACTGTGCTGCACTGCCACTCTTCACCCACATGGCCATTAAATCACCTCATCTGCATTTTGAGTTGTTTACTGAACCTCTGTGTAACACTGTCTTCTATGTTAATGCTAGGAAATACTTCATTCAGGCTCTGTCAGATAATAGCTTTTTTATAGGGTGCTTGTCAAACTCTGTGAGGCTTCTCCTACCTCTCCGTGCATTCCCTCTGCTTCCTGCTTTGTCCTTTTCTGTGTTGTCTCTTGCCCCTCAAAAGCAGAAATGGTTTCTTGGAAGCTTCTTTCAACTCCTTTACTGTTTTCTTGTCAGACATCGTGGTATTTCTAAAGAACAAAGAAGCTTGGAAAACTACATAAAATGACAAAATGGGTGTGTTGACAGGGTTCTCGTGTTTCTGTGCAAGCACAGAGCTGCACATCTTTATACGATGAGACATGCCCAGTCTCTGAGTCAGGGTGTAGGGGCTGAATGCCTCACCCGTTTCACAGGCACTGTCCTCCCTCTTCTCATGTCCACAAATTTTTCTGCTTGCTTGAATGCTGATTATAATCAGCATTTTCGGAAGACAGAAATCAAAATTGGGATTGTATGCATGGTAAAACACAGTAAAATGAGATAGAGAATGAAATCTTTCCAGAATATTATATGTGTGGGCACACGTTTAATATACGTTTACCATAATGTTAAATTTATATTTAACAATAAGTATGGAAGGGTAATGATCTTCTTTCCATCTGATTTTTTTTAATTATGATTTCCCTAGCAACACATCTTTCAATGTCTCAGTTCTCCACTGTAATACAATTTGGGGCCACACTCAAATAGAGGAATGTGGAGAAAATGTGAACAAGCTCCTGTGATGGCTTTTAGAACTTGATTCATGCAAGGACACAGCAGCCTAAGAGTTTCACGTAGGGTGAAACCCAAGTTCGGTAGATCGGAAGCATGGTCCTGTATACCAGTGAATCCTTTGTTACAGACCTGATCTTGAGGGCATCAGAAGCAATGAATCTTGAGAGGAGGCATCTGCAAACTGTTTGCAGACAGCGCGCCCATACTCCCTCTGTTACTTTACTTCATCCGTGTAGTTCTAAAAGGTAAAAATGAAGGAAATGTATGAGAGGCAGCACAGGTTTAATTTCAGATCCATTAGCTCCAGGAAAATTACTAGAAAGAGATGAAATTTTGGCCCAACCCACAGGCTGAAATGCATACCGATTGAAGTGTGGGAAATTTCACCCTCTCAAACATTCTGCCAAATAATGGTGGTGATTTCATAGAATCACAGAATCTTTGGGTTGGAAGGGCCCTTAAAGTCCATCCAGTTCCAACCCCCCTGCCATGGGCAGGGACACCTTGCACTAGCCCAGGTTGCTCCAAGCCTCATCCAGCCTGGCCTTGAACACTTCCAGGGATGGGGCATCCACAGCTTCTCTGGGCAACCTGTCCCATTGCCTCCCCACCCTCTCCGGGAAGAACTTCTTCCTGATATCCAATCTAAACCTCCCCACTTTCAATTTAAACCCATTACCCCTTGTCCTGTCACTACAGGCCCTTGTAAAAAGTCCCCCCCAGCTTCCTTGTAGCCCCTTCAAGCACTGGAAGGCTGTTATAAGGTCTCCCTGGAGCCTTCTCTTCTCCAGGGTGAGCACGCTCAACTTTCTCAGGCTGTTCCCATGGCAGAGGTGCTCCAGCCCTCTGAGCATCTTCGTGGCCTCCTCTGGACTCGTTCCAGCCAGTCGATATCCTTCTTATGTTGAGCGCTCCACAGCTGGACGCAGCACTCCAGGTGGGAGTACTATTTCTCACTCTTATCTGTGGAAAGAAGTTTCTCAGGTAGCCAGTATCAACAGATTTACTGCCTCCTTGCCTAGGCAAGATTTCCTTTGAAACAATTTGGAGTTTAATGTAACTAAGAATTCCATCTGACATACAAAAAACGTAGTGGTAAATATTAATGTCATGTGGATAAAATATGGCATATAAAGAAAAAGAAAGTCTGATAATCAAAAGTTAATTCAGTGGGTGGAGATGTATCCTGATAAAGAAAATGTGTGTAGTTAAAAAGCCAGTGGAAGATTTGCTGTAAATTGAACTGCACTGTGAGTAACCTGTCCACAATTATCTGTAGGAGTTATTGATAGGAAACAATTTTGTGGCCAAGGATCGATTAAAGAATCAGACATGCAGCTATGATTGTGTTATTTTGGTGTGTTGTCACATTTTTATATTCATCTCTGTTTTTCTGTAACCACTATGACATAACCAGCCAAGTATACAAAATGTCCTTCTTTTTTAGTGTTCCCACTGTTACTGTCTGATAAGAGTTTGGTCTTTCAGCTGCCAAGGTCTGTGGTAAATCTGCAAGCAGGCATCCTTCATCGTGTCCTGCTTTTCACCATTTGTAGAGTTCAGTGTTACAGTGAGTTGGGTTCCTAGAGGTGACTCAGAGTTGGCTATATTTTCGTTTCATCGAATCATATATTTGAAGGGCATGCAACTTTTCCACTCCTGTGACAAAAATACTTCCAAAGACACTGTCATATTCTGTTTTGCAAATGTGCTCAGTCTCCTTTAATTTTGCAGTTTATAATACTGGGATTTGCATCATAAGCATATTTAGCTAATCTGAAATGGTGAGACAGCGTTCTGCCCCATGGGATTCCTGCGTTGACATGATGAGCGTAGCCTGCTAAGAGATGGTGTCCGATATGTAAAGGAAGGAAAAAAATCGAGTCAAGTAGCTCATGTCAGCTGCCATGAGGTTGCCATTTAGAGATACTTTTAGTTGATTATGCAATGTAATAAAAAACATGTTTGCTATTTGAATCTAAATGGATTGAAGGCTTTTGGAATTTTTTTAACCAGAAATTTGTACCTTGTTTAATCAGCTGACTTTTTAATCTGATTTTTAAGAACTCTAATGATTCAGAATTATGTTATTCGCAGTTTCTTTTCCTGTTCTCCTTGTGTGGGTTTTTCATTATTTTATTTTCATTCTGTTTGTTTTTGGCTTACTGGCAAAGGACGGCGCCACTTTAATAAGTATAAAAAGAAGGGTAGGTTTTTTCAAATTTCTTTTTATTTCTTTTGCAACATCTATTTAGTTTGCAATAGTTTCTAAGCTGTAAAGTGTAGTCTATCTCTTTTTAAAATTATTCTAATGGATTTGCTGTTTCTGATGATTGCCCACACCACAATAAGAGTTCCTACCACTGCCATTTTCTGTTATGTGTGTACTGTTAATCTCTGTATAAGAATGTAAAAAGACGTCAATTTTTAGGTAAGTAAGGTATAATTGCTAGAAGTAGCAACTCTTGCTTTTTTTCAGTTGTTGTTCAAATTTTAGTTGTTTGAGACTCTTCTTGCTCAGAGGTTATTCAGAGGCTTATTGCTTCTGTAATGTCTTTTCATCCATTTAATACTTTGCTTGAAACTGCTCTCTTAGTGCTGTGTCCACAATGCCCCCAGTGGCATAAGAGGTTCTGGGAGTGATTGCAGGGGGGGAAACATGAATTTTGGAGTGCATCTTGCTGAATAATTCTGTATTCAGTTCATTGTTGTTGAGCACATGGCCCACATGAAATAATACTGCCTGGCATATGCTGTTAGGATATAGGAGTTAATATTTCCTCTCTGTGTGAGTAAGGAAAACGATATTTGCCTTAATTAC